ACATAGATGAACAACCAACAGACGAAAATTGCATTTCCCAATGACGTCTGTCCTCGCCCATGGTCTCCTCACTTCTCCAAGCCCTCACCCCCCCATTCCCTCGCCCTTCCCTCTCGCACCCTCTTGGAAGTCTGCTCAAATCTCACCTCCGTGAGGTCTCTCTGACCACCCCCTCCCTCCACCAGCAATCCCAATCCCCCTCACCCGGCCATATGTTCTGATTCTGGTGGGACTTAACCACCTTCGAATGTTCCGTGTAATTCACTCATTCATTGGGTTTCATGCCCATGCTCCACCTCCCCACTAGGAATCTCTGTCTTACCAATGTGTCCCACACACCTCAGAGGGTGGGAGCTCAGCAAATACTTGTTGAATGCATCTCTAAACACTGCCAATAAGTCACAGCTGGGCTTCAAGTAATCAGAGAAGTGACTCGATTCTCCCACAGCCCTGGTCCTGTGTTTTTTTCAAAGACTCACTCCCCCGGCACTTCCCACTAACTGGAAGGGAGAGATTCTACATCTCCCAATTCCGGTGACCACGGGGATTGACTGAGGACGGTCCTCTCGGGCCCCCTAAATCTTTCTGCCCTTCTCCTTCGGCCAGAGCTCACCTGGTTCTCCCTAAAGAGCCTCTCTGCATATAGAGTCCATGCCGGGAGTCAGAGGAAGCACGTGGGTTTGAGAGCTATGCCACAACCTTAGGGTGTCATTTCCGCTCGAGCCTTAGTTTCCTCATCTATAAAATAAGGACTGGGACCATGATCTTCTCCAGTCCTTCCCAGTTCCGACATTTTCCCTGTGGAAGTGGGGGAGCGTGTAAGCTTGGTCAAAATGTACTTAGAAATGAACCAACCCATGACCCTGGGGCACAGGACACAGCCATACTTAGATAATCGCAAATATAACCAACAGGGGAGCGGGCATCACATAGGCTAGATTAGCAGCCGTCATCTGTTCTCACAAAGCAAGAAAGGCAGTGATTATTGTCTCTATTTCACATAAGAGAAAACTGAGGCTCAGAGAGGCTCAACAGACTGCCCACACATAGGAAGCAGAAGAGCCACATTCAAAGCCAGGTCTTCCAACGGCAAATTCCACTGGCTTACCGCACAGAACTGCCTCATTGCTTAATGCACCCTGGGCCAGGTGCAGTGGCTCAAGCCCGTAGTCCCAGCAGTTTGGGAGGCTTAGGCGGGCAGATGGCTTGAGCTCAGGAATTCGAGACCAGCCTGGTCAATATGGCAAAACCCCATCTCAACAAAAAAATACAAAAATTAGCTGGGCACGGTGGCATGTGCCTGCAGTTTCAGCTACTCGGGGAGCTGAGGCGGGAGGATTGCTTGAGCCCAGAGGTAGATATTGCAGTGAGTCAATATCAGGTCACTGCACTCCAGCCTGGGTGACAAAGCGAGACTTTGTCTCAAAAAAGAAAGAAAAAGAGAGTGAGAGAGAGAAAGAAAAAGAAAGAAGGAAGGAAGGAAGAAAAAGAAAGAAAGAAAGAGAAAGAAAGGAGAGAAAGCAGGGGTGAAAGGAGGGCACGAACCCTGGTGGGAGAAGGCGACCATTAGATTATTCAAAATGTCAATCATCTAATAATGTATATGATTACAGAATATAACATTGTAATTTACATTTGAATGTGGTTATGTCTCCTGCTCTAGACGTTTATTTATTTACATCAAATAATGTAATAGAGACACCTGGGAAGAAATCCCTCTGAAAGACCTGAGACACTGATTCCGGGGAGAAATAGACAACCCTTCTCTCAATGGTAGCTAAGATGAGCCTCTTTCCCCACGTCTTTCAAACCTTCCCCAAGATAGACATGATTGAGTGTTTATATTTTCAAGAACTTTCCAGCGGCAATCGGAAGAACAGACAGCAAAGATAACCCAATCACTTGGGTACCGCGCGTAGAGGAGTGTCTTCTACGTTTACATAGTAAGTAAACAAAAAACAAACAAAAAAAAAGTGCTCAATTGAAAAGCTGGATTCGTCTAAATGAGAGATACTGTAACTGGTTCAGAGCCCTGTTGCCAGCCCCATTTTTCTGGATTCAAACGCATCCTTTACTACCATCTCTCACAAAATAATGATGAGCGATGACACCCCCCACCACATTAGCCAACTTGGACTGGGAAGCCTTGGAAAGGGAGAACTTCATTGGGAAGAGAAGCTTTGCAGACTCTCTTCTCTTCACAGGAGGATCTCAGGGAGAGCACAAGCTTCAAGAATCGACATTTACTACGTATTTTCAAAGAAAGAATGATTGGATCTCTTCCCTTCATCCTCTGACTTCTTGCCTCATTAATATTGCAGGGATCAGCCTTGACCATCTGTTTTGTTTGTTTGTTTGTTTGTTTGTTTTTGTTTGTTTTTGTTTTTGTTTTTTGAGACGGAGTTTCGCTCTTGTTACCCAGGCTGGAGTGCAATGGCGCGATCTCGGCTCACCGCAACCTCCGCCTCCTGGGTTCAGGCAATTCTCCTGCCTCAGCCTCCTGAGTAGCTGGGATTACAGGCACGCGCCACCATGCCCAGCTCATTTTTTGTATTTTTAGTAGAGACGAGGTTTCACCATGTTGACCAGGATGGTCTTGATCTCTTGACCTCGTGATCCACCCGCCTCGGCCTCCCAAAGTGCTGGGATGACAGGCTTGAGCCACTGCGCCCAGTGACCATCTGTTTTTAAGTGAAGGATTTACTAGAAAGCACTGTCCAGTCAGTGTGGGCCCCCGAACTTGGGAGTCCAAAAGAAATCAGACATCTAAAGTAAATGAGATTGTGGGCTAGTGACCATTTTATTTAAAATGGAACTGGGGACTCACACAACATGGGGACCATCCTCCTTCAAACGGCCCCCATTAAATGCAATATGTCCATGACGCCCGAAAGGACAGGAGAAAGGCGTGAGCGTGAATTAAGTGCTCAGATTGTTTTTATCTAGTTTACCTTCAAAGTTGTCTTCAATTTTGTAGTCATACATTGCAGATTTCATAAAACTCAGTTTCAACTATTTTTGCTCCATTGTTTTCACAAATAAACTTGTAGGATAAAATTCCCCATTTTTGGTTTGGAAAATGTAATTAAAAATCACCATTTTTTATACTGACGATAGTCAGTCCCAGATGATGGCAAGGGAGGGGGCCTCAGAGAGCACGCGTCCGTGTCCTCCAAGATGGCTTCCCAAGCATCATTCCTCATTAAGCCACATTAGAATTTCATCTAAGAGGCCGGGCACGGTGGCTCAAGCCTGTAATCCCAGCACTTTGGGAGGCCGAGGCGGGTGGATCACAAGGTCAAGAGATCGAGACCATCCTGGTCAACATGGTGAAACCCCGTCTCTACTAAAAATACAAAAAAATTAGCTGGGCATGGTGGCACGTGCCTGTAATCCCAGCTACTCAGGAGGCTGAGGCAGGAGAATTGCCTGAGCCCAGGAGACGGAGGTTGTGGTGAGCCGAGATCGCGCCATTGCACTCCAGCCTGGGTAACAAGAGCGAAACTCCGTCTCAAAAAAAAAAAAAAAAAAAAAGAATTTAATCTAAGAGCCTCTTCGGGAGAAAAAACATCACATTCCCATTTAACAGATGAAGGCACTAAAATCTAAAAATATTAGCTATGTTGATGACTCAATTTCTGCCACCCAAAAGTATTTGTAATTATGAGTGAAACATGGTGAGAAATGCTGTTACTTTGACGAATGGCACCAGAATCTTTGGAGTGTTAATGCTCCTTTCAAAGAATGAGACAACCCTGCTGAAGGTTTATTTTTCTTTTTTATTGTTTTGATCTTTTTAGAAAGCTTTTCTCCTTTATTTTTAGTTGACATATGATAATCGTACATGTTTATGTGACACAGAGTGATAGTTACATACATTGATACAATGTGTCATGATCAAATCAGGATAGTTAGCATATACAGCATCTCAAACATTTATCATTTGTGCTGGGAACAATCAAAATCCTCTCCACTAGCTTTCTGCGAATATATAATAAAATAGTTAATGGCCAGGTACAGTGGCTCACGCCTGTAATCCCAGCACTTTGGGAGGCCAAGGCCTGATCACCTGAGGTCAGGAGTTCGAGCCCAGCCTGACCAACATGGTGACACCCTATCTCTACTAAAAATACAAAAAAAAAAATTAGCTGGGCGTGGTGGTGGGTGCTTATAATCCCAGCTACTTGGTAGGCTGAGGAAGGAGAATCACTTGAACCTGGGAGGCGGAGGTTGCAGTGAGCTGAGATCGCGCCATTGCACTCCAGCCTGGGCAACAAGAGCAAAACTCTGTCTCAAAAAAAAAAATAAATTATAGCTAACCATATCCACCCTACAGCACTGCAGACCACCAGAACCCATTCTCCCACCTAGCTGTGCTGTTGTATCTATTAACAACACGCTCCCCATCCTTCCTTCCCTCACGACCCTTCCCAGCCTCTAATATCCACAGTTCTGCCGCTGAAAGCTTTCAGAGACAAGAGCAAGCCACCAACAGAGGATGAAATACGGTCCTTTGAAAAGGACCAACCACTCTCCTTCCGTCTGACTCAGGGCAGAGGGATGCACGCAGGTGACTACTCACTGTCCCTACGTCACTAAGATCCTCCAAGCTGATGATAAGGCCTTGGGAAGATGCTCCTAGGCTCATGCCCTCTGGAGGGAAGCCAAAGGTTTCCTGGTGTACGGGCCCAGTCTGCTTCTAAAAGAAACTTTTGGAGGCACAGAAGCCCCGTCTAAGGTTTCACCCATCAGCTTTTCCCATCCTCCTCCCTCAGTGCCCAGCACAGCTCTCCCATTCTCTCACTCCCATTGTTTCCCCAAACATCCCTCCCTTCATAAAAGCTGTCTGGCTGGGAGCTTAAAATATTGCTGGACAGTAAAACCTACCCATCAGGGCCAATCCAGTCATATCTGCTCAGTCGTGCAGCACAGTAGGGGCGGGGTAGAGAAGTGGGAGGTGGGCTTTTAGGCGGCAAAGGAAAGAGACGAAAGTTGCCATTTTGCTGCTGAGCGCCAAGAGAGAAAGACAGCACCTATTTCTCCGTGGGACGCTCCCCGTATTGGCAAGTTTTCCTTGGGTCGTATTAGTTTGTAACCTTCCCCCCATTCTTCCTTCTCAGCCTAATCTAAGGACCATACGTAGGCTTCTTCAAAAGGGGAAAGGTTGCCAGTAAGATTCAGTCTTGGGCTGGGACGGCTGGGCTTACACAGTTCAACTCTGAAAACCCTTTTCAAGTTGATCTAGTGGTTGGCAGAGGTTTGGAAGGGAGAGGAATTCTGGAATAATTGGAGGATGGGGGAACAGGGCTCTCCAAACTCAAACTACAATTTGACTTCTGAAGCTCTTTTCATTTTTCAGAATGAATTAACGTGTGTCCGGGAATCCAGAGGGACCTAAACCAAGTATCTGATATTTGTGATACCGGCACTCAAATTCTGTAATACAAATCATAGTCATAATTATTGAAGGCTGTAGGGGTAGCAGAGGTTTCGCGCTCAGCGTTTTCCATGCTGGAGCATTTAATGGAGCACAGGAATGGATCTGGCTAAGGACCCTAAAACTCTTCCTGGAACCAGGTTCTGTTTGTCTATGAGAACTGCCGGCTAGTGGCTGTTCTAGAAACAAGAAGAGAGCCACATTTGCACTTGGTTGCTAGCCGGAGTGGTAAGTGGCCATTGAATGCTTTGGAGAACTTATTAATGGGTGTGTATGTGTTATTCTGCCTCTTCAAAGCCAGAGGTGGGCTATGCTATCATGGACTTACAGCTGGCAGATCAGAATTCAGATCCCGGCTCTGCCCTCACTAGCTAAGCCCCACCTTGGGAGACTCATTTAACCCCCCAGCCTGTCTTTCTGTCTGGTAATGGGGATTGATAATGCCAAGTTCACTGGTTCTCAAACATCTATCTGAAAGTCTGTCAGTTCTAGCCCAAGATGTGACCTGTGGTCTCGCCTGTGACCAAAATGTGACAATGAAGAAATTAACAATGTAGTAAATGTTTCACCAAGTTAGGTGTGTTCAATTTGAAGGCTTGTCTTTTATTCTGTAATTATGTCCTCTCTAGTTTTATAGTGTTAAAATCCCCTTTTATGAAATGATGGTGAAACAGACTGTAATTAGAGTTAGTGATTTAATAACTTTTTTTTTTTGAGACAGAGTCTTGCTGTGTCACCCAGGCTGGAGTGCAGTGGTGCAAACTCGGCTCACTGCCACCTCCGCCTCCTGGGCTCAAGCAATTCTCCTGCCTCAGCCTCCCAAGTAGCTGGGATTACAGGTGCCTGCCACCACACCCAGCGAATTTTTATATTTTTAGTAGAGACACGGTTTCACCATGTTGACCAGGCTGGTGTTGAACTCCTGACCTTAAGTGATGTGCCCGCCTCAGCCTCCCATAATGCTGGAATTACAGGAGTGAGCCACCACAACCGGCCAATAATTATTTTTCTGTCCTTGCTTGGCAAAATAAGGAGTTGGTATCCTTATGCCGATCACACTAGTTTGTTGTTATTATACTGTGAAATCTAAGTCTGAGAACCATTGGCCCAGTTCACAGCTTGTTAGGAGGACTGAAATAAAATATGTGAAACTGTATCACTTATAAATACCTTAAGACTTTGGGAGGCCGAGGCGGGTGGATCACGAGGTCAAGAGATCGAGACCATCCTGGTCAAATGGTGAAACCCCGTCTCTACTAAAAATACAAAAAATGAGCTGGGCATGGTGGCACGTGCCTGTAATCCCAGCTACTCAGGAGGCTGAGCCAGGAGAATTGCTTGAACCCAGGAGGCGGAGGTTGCGGTGAGCCGAGATCGCACCATTGGACTCCAGCCTGGGTAACAAGAGCGAAACTCCGTCTCAAAAAAAAAAAAAAAAAAAAAAAAAAAACATACATACATACATACATTAAGGATACCCAAACATAAGGTGTTATTTTAATCATTACCTCTAGCCATAATTTTCTGGTGGGATGTTCCTGGCCATATATGGACACCCTGGGATTGGAGGCTTGAATTCCATTTATTTTCCATCTGTAACAGGTCTGTTCACTAAATTTTCACAAGCAAAATAAAACAGAGAATTATCCCTAAAAAAGAGAAGGGAAATACTCTTCCTTTGGTTCCGATGTCTCCCCGCTCCCATAGAACACTGCTTCTCTCATCTGACTTCCTTTAAATTTTCATTGTTAGAAGTCAGGAAACAAAAGCATATCCCTGCATGCCTCTAAAGTGTCTCTCCTTAACAGCACAGTAGGCCTGTTTAAACATCGTGGCATTGGAAAGATTATGTCCTAAATTACATTTTCTCTCCTTCAGTTAGAACAAGAAACTTTGTACCTAGACATTTTTGAAAAATACGATCTTAGCATGGCGGCTCAGAGAATAGATAGACACCAGCTTATTTGGCTTTGGTTTCAAAATTACTAATAGGTGGTCAGGAGCGGCTTCTTATGTCTTGAGCATGTATCATGACACTCATGTCAAGAATTGTTGGCCTTTCAATTTATATCTCTGATCTTATATAAAATAAGCAGTTTTCGCCAGGCGTGGTGGCTCACGCCTATAATCCCAGCACTTTGGGAGGCCGAGGCGGGTGGATCACGAGGTCAAAAGATCGAGACCATCCTGGTCAACATGGTGAAACCCCGTCTCTACTAAAAACACAAAAATTAGCTGGGCATGGTGGCGCGTGCCTGTAATCCCAGCTACTCAGGAGGCTGAGGCAGGAGAATTGCCTGAACCCAGAAGGCGGAGGTTGCGGTGAGCCGAGATCGCGCCATTGCACTCCAGCCTGGGTAACAAGAGCGAAACTCCATTTCAAACAACAACAACAACAACAACAACAAAATAAGCAGTTTTGTGTCTCAAAACAGCTGGTTGGGGATCAATTTACTATCCTTTTTGTTATTTACCATTTTTTCGCATTTGCTTAATCTCCCTGCTGTTCTCTGCAGCAAGAGGACTGAAGTTCCTTGGTCTCTGGCACTCATGTTACGCGAAGTCAAGGATTGAGAATTTCAGATTTCAGAGGATTACTATCAATCCCAGGCACTGATGTCTATGGAGTTTCCCCTCTGCGGAGGGCTTTGTTCTGTGCTGTGATGGTTCACAAAAACGAAGCCAAAATGGTTCCTGCCCTCCAAAAGCTTTTGATACTAAAGAGGGGGAAAGAAGATCGGTTAACATGTAGGGCTGAGAGCATATGCTCATCACACACATTCATGTGGGTATGTGAGTGAAATATACATAGAAACTCAAAACGGCTAATATGGTACAATACGAGGTTGTCGAAACTGAACTGATCTATCAGTGAGGGTAAGTATTCGCTAGATAGTTACAATTAAGTAAGATACTACTAAGACAGTAAGATATATTAGGTTTAGATCACATTAAAGCCAGATTTGATGTTTTAGAAGGAAAGTTATTCAAATAGCTGTTTTAACATAAATTTTAGAATAAACGATTAGATTTTTAAAAATAACTTTTTCCTGGCTCTGCCACCAGGGTGAGCTTTATGCCTAGGCTGCTAACCTGACTGTCATGTTTTCCAAAAGGCAGTGGGAATGGCTGCCACTCTTACCATGGCAAGTGCTAGTCTTAACAAGAGTCTGAAGAGTTAAAAACAAATACATGCGGCTGGGATTGTGAGTCGCTGGTTCTAATTCCGAGCTGCTGGTTCCCTCCCACTCTCCATTACCCATTTCTACAAGGAACTCTTCCCAGTGCCAGACTCATGACTGGGGATGCCACAGTTGCCGTCACCTCTTCAGAAGAGGAGGAGCACTGTCTGCTCTCCGACAAGAAGCAGCTATTGCAGCACTGTTTACAATAGCAAAGACCTGGAACCAACCCAAATGCCCATCAATGATAGACTGGACAGGGAAAATGTGGCACATATACACACCATGGAATATTATGCAACCATCAAAAACGATGAGTTCATGTCCTTTGTAGGGACATGGATGAACCTGGAAACCATCATTCTCAGCAAACTGACACAAGAGCAGAAAATCAAACACCGCATGTTCTCACTCAGGCAGGTGTTGAACAATGAGAACACATGGACACAGGGAGGGGAGCATCACATAGTGGGGACTGTTGGGGGGAAATAGGGGAGGGACAGCGGGGGGTGGGGAGTTGGGGAGAGATAACATGGGGAGAAATGCCAGATACAGGTGAGGGGACGGAAGGCAGCAAACCACACTGCCACGTGTGTACCTATGCAACAATCTTGCATGTTCTTCACATGTACCCCAAAACCTAAAATGCAATTTTTTAAAAAAGTGTATTTTGGAAAAAAAAACAAAACAAAAACAAAAAAAAAAGGAAGAAAAGAAAAGCAGCAGCTATTGTGTGTGCCCTGACAGCACAGCCTGCTGGACATTGCAGATGCCCGCAATTAGCATCCTGCCACCGGGTTTTGTCTGGCCAGACTCCAAATCACAAGTTGGAAATAGGCTTTTGTGCTTAACAAATATCACTGTGATTAAAAAATAGTAGGCATAACCTTTTAGCCCCATGGGCTCCTGGTCCTATAGCGTGGTGCGTGGCTAGAAGAATCCCAGAGCAGGATCTTCTAACATGGGCTCTTGACTTGGTCTGTGGGCAGTGATGGTAAACTTTACAACTCTAGAGATGTTCAAGCTGGAGGAACAACTGTTCTCCAATAAGGTGGCAGTTTTGCTCATCATCCTTCCTAGGTTACAGGTTTGCACTGGATGAATGACCCAGTTGCAAGCAGCCCCTCGTCAGTTCAATGCCAGTTCCATTAGCCATTGCTGTGCTAGAGGCATTATATATTATCATGTTTAATGATATTTTTTCTACAGACCACATTTTAACTCTATTGAAACAACTATATGTTACAGGCCCTGAAACATTTTCTTTCTGTAGGACACTAAAAGTGTCCTAGAAGACCTTCCTCATCCTGCGACATGATTCCTTCCCAAAGCTTTCTCTCTGTTCTTTGGATTTAAAAGAGTAATGATAAAAATATACTGCTCTCCATGTGTAAAGCTATTAATAAGGTTTTCAGATTTCAACCTAGAGTAGAGGAAACATCAATTAAGAGCACAGAAGTCAAAGAATTGTGCAGCTCTGATTGCAAGCAATTTTATCTCAGTGCTGTAGTGGGAAGAACCCAGCCTTTGTGATCAAGCAAACAGAACTGCTGCTATTTAGCTGTCTAACCTTGGACAATATATTTAGCCTCTCTGCGCCTCAGATTTCTGTTTTCTTTTTTTCTTTTTTTCTTTTTTTTTTTTTTCTTTGAGACAGGGTCTTGCTCTGTCTCCCAGGATGGAGCATAGTGGCATAAATCAGGGCTCACTGCAACCTTGACCTCCCATTCTCAAGCAATCCTCCTGCCTCAGCCTCCCAAGTAGCTGGGAACACAGGCATGCACCACCAAGCCCAGCTAATTTTTTAAAGTTTTTTTTTTTTTTTTTTGTAGAGATTGGGTCTCACTGTGTGGCCCAGCTAGTCTTGAATTCCTGGGCTGAAATGATTCTCCTGCCTCGGCCTCCCAAAGTTCTAGGATTACAGGCATGAGCCACCATGCCTAGCCTTCAGTTTTCTTATTTGTTGGAATTAAGTTAGTTAACAAATACTTACGAAGTTCTCACTGTGTGCTGGGCTGTGTGTCAGGCATTGAGTAAATGGCAGTAGATAGGCGTGGCTCCTACCCTCATGGAAATTACAGTCTAGCAGGATCAAGTTAAACGAAATAATATAATGTCAAAGTTCTATCCCCAAGTTGGTATTCAGTAAATGCCAATCCCCTTCCACTTCCCTTCGAACATCTCATCATTATGTATTCTGACACAGTCAAACATAAGATGGCCACAGACAATTTCATACATACAAGAATTTTGTTGGGAGCCCAGACACCCAGAGTATAAGGTAATTTTTCAGCATCGTGTCTCATGAAACTTAGAGCAATATGCGGTCTTGATTTAAATCCATGTAACCGAGGGTTTCTATTTACGGTCAACAATGAACCCTTACTTTTGGTGGCGTTTAAGGAATTATACAGATGCTTTCAGGCCATTTGTGAAGTGAATGAGAATAGGTACTGTTATTAAGCCCATTTTACAGATGAGGAGGCGATTGGAAGCAGATTCCTTGGGGCTCCGTTTGTTCCCTCGTCGTCGTCTGCACCGAGGAAGCGCTGAACAGACGCTGTTTACGCGGCGAGGGCTCCGCGACTGGGAAAGGAGGGGTGCCCAGCTGGCAAAGAGGGACGCTGGCTCGGGGTTGCGGGTTGCGTTGCGGCCGCTCAGCTTCTGTCTCCTCCCTCCTCTCTTCAGGTGGGTCAGAGATGGGCGACTGGAGCTTCCTGGGGAGCATCCTGGCGGAGGTGAACGAGCACTCCACCGTCATCGGCAGAGTGTGGCTCACCGTGCTGTTCATCTTCCGGATCCTCATCCTCGGCACGGCCGCCGAGTTCGTGTGGGGGGACGAGCAGTCCGACTTCGTGTGCAACACGCAGCAGCCGGGCTGCGAGAACGTGTGCTACGACGAGGCCTTCCCCATCTCCCACACCCGCCTGTGGGTGCTGCAGATCATCTTGGTGTCCACGCCGTCCCTGATGTACGTGGGCCACGCGGTGCACCACGTGCGCAAGGAGGAGAAGCGCAGGGGCCGCGCGGCGGAGCAGCAGGGCGCGCAGGCGGGGGCGGGCGGCGAGCTGGGGCCGCCGGGCTCGAACCCGGGCGGCGGCGGCAAGGGCGCCAAGAAGTTCCGGCTGGAGGGGACCCTGCTGAGGACCTACATCTGCCACATCATCTTCAAGACCCTCTTCGAAGTGGGCTTCGTCGTGGGCCACTACTTCCTGTACGGGTTCCGCATCCTGCCTCTGTATCGCTGCAGCCGCTGGCCCTGCCCCAACGTGGTGGACTGCTTCGTGTCCCGGCCCACGGAGAAAACCATCTTCATCCTGTTCATGCTGTCTGTGGCCTCCGTGTCCCTCTTCCTCAACGTGATGGAGTTGGGCCACCTGGGCCTGAAGGGGATCCGGGCTGCCTTCAAGAGGCCCGCAGAGCAGCCCCTGGGAGAGATTCCTGAGAAATCCCTCCACTCCATTGCTGTCTCCTCCATCCAGAAAGCCAAGGGCTATCAGCTCCTAGAAGAAGAGAAAATCGTTTCCCACTATTTCCCCTTGACCGAGGTTGGGATGGTGGAGACCACCCCGGTCTCTGCCAAGCCTTTCAATCAGTTCGAGGAGAAGATCAGCACGGGACCCCTGGGTGACTTGTCCCGGGGCTACGAAGAGACGCTGCCTTCCTACGCTCAGGTGGGGGTGCAGGAAGTGGAGGGCGAGGGGCCGCCTGCAGAGGAGGGAGCCGAACCCGAGGTGGGAGAGAAGGAGGAAGCAGAGAGGGCGACCACAGAGGGGCAGGAGAAGGTGGCAGTGCCAGAGGGGGAGAAAGCAGAGACCCCCGGAGTGGAGAAGGACGGTGAAAAAGAAGAGCTGCAGTCGGAGGTGGCAAAGCAAGGGCTGCCAGCTGAGAAGACGCCTTCGCTCTGTCCGGAGCTGACGACAGATGATGCCAGACCCCTGAGCAGGCTAAGCAAAGCCAGCAGCCGAGCCAGGTCAGACGATCTCACCGTATGAAGTGACGCCAAAGGAAAAAAAAAAAAAAAAAAAACACGCCCAAGCTTACATAAGGCCAGATGAAAGGAAAAGGTGCCAACACGATCTGAGTCTTCTGTCCCCTGCCCTCGCCCCGGCCCCTGGTTGGACAGGCACTGCAGCAGAGCGCTGTATGCCACACAACTAGGAATCGGCCTTTCCCACATCCAGCGTAAGGGCTACCAAGATAAACCCATCGACCACTAAAGTTCCCAGTCTCATAGGACTGCCCACTTCCTCCGACCCCAACAGCTGTGGGGGACTCTTCCTTCATGCCCATTTCTCCATAGAAATCCTTAAATCAGAATTGTGGTTGCCTCATAGCCTTTTAGCAGTCTTGTCTCAAGCTCACTAACTCAGCCAGAATGATCAGGCCAGCATTTCTGAAGCAGATATCACCATATTTTGGGGATCTCAGCTCAAAAGTCTGCAGAATACAGACAGGTAACTAACGTAAGGTTCAAGGCAGCCCTGTTCTAATGCAAGGGAGAGAATGGGGCTGTGAAAGCTGGAGAGCACAAGAAGTTGCTGCTCACTTCCAGACAATAAGTACCATGAAGTGTTACCTGGTCTTTCCGATTTCTCAAGGGAAGCCAGAAATCCAATATATATATATTTTTAAGACAGGCTCTCTGTTGCCCAGGCTGGAGTGCAGTGGCACAATCTCAGCTCACTGCAGTCTCAACCTCCCAGGCTCATGAGAGCCCCTCATCTTAGCCTCCCAAGTAGCTGGGACTATAGGTGCACACCACCACAGCTGGCTAATTTTCGTAGAGATGGGGTTTCACCATGTTGCCTAGGGTGGTCTCAAACTCCGGGGCTCAGCCTCCCATAATGCTGGATTACAGGGGTACACCACCCTGCCTGGCCCATGATATCTAAATTTTAATTGAAATTTGAAACTGTTAATGCTGGCAACTAAATTTTATATACAACATGTGGACCAAATGAAATATATGCAGGCCAAATTTAACCTGTGAAGTGCCTATTTGCAATATCATCTTATGCTAATTAGCCCAGCTTTCTTATGGAATCAGTCTTATTATCTATGGTCTCAACATGTTTCTGTGGCTCCCAAATCTATTTCACTACTTTGGAGTGTTTGGTTTAAATCATGAGTCCAGGAGATATCCAGAGTTCTCACTGACCATTCTTTTGGGTCATTGTAGCCCCTGGGTTCTGAAGCAATGACATGATTGTATTGGTGGAAATTCTGCCCTGGGTACCATCAGAGAAAGACAGCCAGATGCCAAAACTCTCCCCGTGAAATCAAAGGCTCTGAGGACTGGTTGCAGTTTTTTCCTTGAAGCAAAGAAGATCCTTTCTTTACTCCCCTCTTGCATCATCAGTGCTCAGCCTAAATTCTATACCTCTTTTCATCAGGGACTAGAAGCAAAACCAGTTTTGAGCGGAAGAACACCTGCTCACAGGTCTGTCCTAGGAAGAGGCAGATCTCAGGCCTTGTGCAGGCACAAGACATGTACCAAAAGGGCCATCAGAGTGGCATCTGAGGGAGCCTCACACAAAGTGAGTGCTCACATGGCCAGGATCCCACAGTGGGGTCCCAGGCCAAGCCTCATCCCTAGAAAGGACACAGAGGCTAAAGGGAACAAGAAAAATCTTGAAGGGCTCCTGTCCTCGTATTCCCACAACTCACCCTCCTCAAACACAGAGTCTAGTCAGGGGAAAGCCTCACGTACAAGTACATATTTCATACCAGGAGCAATTTTACCCTCAGCCAATCAATTGCCAGAGCAGGAAGAGAAAGCTAAGATGGTTCATATTTTCTTTTTCTTTTTTTCTTTCTTTTTTTTTTTTTTTTTGAGACGGAGTTTCACTCTTGTTACCCAGGCTGGAGTGCAATGGCGCCATCTCGGCTCACTGCAACCTCCGCCTCCTGGGTTCAGGCAATTCTCCTGCCTCAGCCTCCTGAGTAGCTGGGATTACAGGCACGCGCCACCATGCCCAGCTAATTTTTTGTATTTTTAGTAGAGACGAGGTTTCACCATGTTGCCCAGGATGGTCTCGATCTCTTGACCTTGTGATCCACCCGCCTCAGCCTCCCAAAGTGCTGGGATTACAGGCTTGAGCCACCGCGCCCGGCCTGGTTCATCTTTTCTAAACCAACACTATGCTTCATGGGCTGCAGTGCCAAAGACAGTGCAGGAGTTCTAGAAACCAAGTTGACATGGCAGGGACCTGGACAGGAGGCCAGCAAGTGACCCAAAAGAGGGGCTTAGAAAAACGGCCTTTGTTGTATCTTCCCAATCCCAATCAGCACCATCTCAAAGCATACCCATCCCCTTTGCTGCCCTCTGGTTACTACCTTCCTTTTAAGATATTCATTCAAAATATACCTTTCTAACGCAGGCTTTCTCCAAAACTATTCCTCCCCCTTGACAAAATTTCCATTTCTTGGCGACCCATTCTAAAGCAAAGCCGTCTAAAAATTAAACTCATTTTCAGGTTTGATTGTTTGGTAACTACTCCTGGGAAAAATTGCATTTAAAAGAGAAAGACTAAGCTACGTATTTTACCTGGGTAACCCAAAGTGACAAACCTTCAGTGGAGGAATGTTGAAGAGAAGAGGTATGTATGTTTATCTCGTAGACACGTGACTTCCTGGCTACTCCCTGATCATCCCCCGGTAGGCAACGTTATTCCACACAGACCTTCTCCTCTATGGTGAGAGAATTAACAAGATCCCAGGCCTGAGAACCAGAGAGTGCACCCTTGACCCTAACAGCTGCATTACTGTTCCTATAGTTTTGTTCCTGAAGACCCAATTTAAAAAGAGCCTTATGAATAGCTTGTTCATTACCAGAATAAAGCGTCTATCTCAACTAGAGCCTAATACAAAAAAGAAAACTGATATCCTGTTCTAAGTAAAACTGCCGTTTGGTACCAGCTGCAGAAACGAGGGCTGCTGGCCTCCTCATCTCTGCTGGGACGTAAGTGTGTGTGTGAGTGTCTTTACTCAGTTGAAGCAGCATCCCGCTTCAATGCACATACCCACCATGTCCCCACAGTTTCCCTCGTAGTCCTCCCAATAAAAGCAGAAGCCTGTTTAGGAAGAAACAGACACGGGCATCAAGGGGCTGAGATTTTGTTTCTATTTCTGCCATTTAGTAGGCTGTATCATTATTGTGCCTTGAGCGCTCTGTACTTCCGTTTTCTGCCTACAAACTAGAGCTGGCATTTGTCACCTTCCTACGTCCAGGGGTGTCATAAAGATTGAGTTGGCTGCCAAGCATGAAGCCTGCTGAGAGGCACCACTCCCTGAGAGGTCCAACAGCAGTGACACTGGGAAGAAGGGGAGGTGGATGGTTTCCATCTGTGCCCCCAGCCTGCCTCGTAGTTTACCTGGTGAGAGTTTTGCAGTGTGAAGCAGACACTCCAGAGATCAGTTTTCTCAGAAGAGATTCAAAACAGAATCTTAACCCCGTATGTTGAGTGGGAACCTGAGGCTCATTGACCTTAAGAAATGACTGGAGACAGATTGCCAGTTACTTTCACCTGCTGAGAAAGCTGCCCCGTCTGAAGCTGCCACGCAACTGCAGCCAGTTTCATTCAGAAGCAGCTGCATGTCTATGGTGGTCCTTGCTCCAGACAGCTGCACCCCTCAGCATCTGTTTTCAGGCAAATAATTATGACTGACTCAGGATAATATTCCCCATGGGCTTCATTATGTCCAGATTTAATTTCTACTCCTCGTTGGGCCCTTATTAGATAAAAACCCTAGGGCACATGGACCTACCAATAAAAAGATACATTAGACAGCGAGACATCAGGAGTACAGCTCCCTCCAGAGGAAAGGCACTAATCACTTGATAGCAGTCCTAACACTGCCATCAGGGGAGATCTGTGACCAAGAAGGTTAGAGGTGCTCAAAGTTCAGTTAGGAAGTTTACAGCCTGGCTGTGTAAACCCTGGCCTAGTGTTTGGGCATTGTAAAAAAGCCGGTCTGCTTTCCATCATGTCTTTGTCCCCTGCCACGCAGGGGGAGCAGCCAGTACGGCACTGGACAGATATTCCTGAAGTTCTGTGTGACCTGGGGACAGTGCTGACTGCCCTTCCTGACTCTGGGTATGCCAAGATGCCGCTCACCTGCTCTACATGACAGTTTTCTCTATGTTAATTGAGGATGATAAGTTCTGCCCCTTCTTCACAAGATGTTATCGGTCTTTTTAAAAACTCACTAATTTGGAAATAAACAGAAAAAAAAAGAAGGCATCATCAAAATTTGTTAAGTCCATATTGTAAAATGTATACTAACGCAGTGACGGTCATCACTTTCAAATACTGCATAGATTGTTAACTAAGATACTGGTCAAAAGTGAGCCGATATCTAAAATAAGGGAAATAAATTTGGAGGGACGACAGGTAGTCTTGAATTCTTAAGAATTATGGCACACACACACAAAAAAAGAATCTCTTTAATCACACAATAATTGGTTGCTGAAAGAGATGCTGAAGGTACTCAGCTCGCTAGAGCTCACCTATGCAGAAGATCACATACGGAGAAGCGGAGAAGCATCGACCACTGGGACAGTCTCTGACTCATGGCAAAAGGGACTCCATGGATACTGACGGAGCTGCATGCTGGAACTCTTCAGGCCATGCGGAAGGCCTGTGGCGAGACTGGCACCAACTCCTGCTCTTCCCCGGTTCCTGAGGAGGGTCGTTGGGCATATGCTAAGTAAGAATGAGAACACCACCCCAACTGCACGTCCCGTTCCATTCCCCAGCCGCCTCTTCGCTCCTTTCTCTCACCGCGAATTACCCTCTATGCATATCATGTGCAAATGATTGCACAACCCAACTTAGCAAAGTTTAGATGAGAAAGGTTTGCCTGGTTGGAAGAAAAACTCTTCAGAGTGTAAATACAATCTGTAAAACTAGTAAGTGGGTACCTAGAGGTGATAGTGAAGTAGGCAGGGAGACTTTCCCTTTTTGCAATTATTGTATTATCACTAAATATGTGCTTGAGGAAG